AGCAGCGCGGACGCCTTGCGCAGCAGCGGCCTGCGCGCGTTGTGCATGTGCAGCAGGATGCTCTCGGCCAGCAGCACCAGCTCGACGCGCGTGCGCAGTCGCAGCTGCTCGGCCGTCGCCTCGATGCGCGCCGTGTCGCTCACCGCCAGCCCGATCAGCAGGTTGAGCAGCACCACCGTCACCAGCAGCACGAAGAAGACGAACAGCGCCACCGACACCAGCGACCGGTCCGGGTACGAGCCGAACTCCAGCTCGCCCGTCATCATCACCAGCGTCTTGATGATGGACGTGTACCACAGCTTGAAGTCGCTCGCGTCGGCTTCGCCCTCCCCTTGGCCCTCGTGGAACAGCGTGTGGAAGCTCAGGCCGAACGCGATGATCACGACGCAGTACGACATGAGCGGCAGGATGTAACCGGTCAGCACCACCCGAAGCATTTCCACGTACTTTGCGAACTGCGATAACCGCCCGAGTAGCATGAGGAGCTCCGCGCTGGAGAATAATATTGTGAGCACGTTAATGGTGCTGAGAAGGTGGTTCTCAGGGCTCAAAAGCGGCATGCCAAGAGTCACCAAGCTGCACAACAGAACCAGCCAATCTAAATAGTTCTCTGTAGAGCTCATGTACTTTTGTTCGTCAAATATGAATTGTATAGCTTCCCGAAGACAAAGCAGCAGCCAAAGCAGCAGCGATACTACGAAGGAAATCCAGGCCAGCACTAGACTGAATGTAAACGCACTTGAACTTTCCGGAACTTCATTCTCTATATCAGTATAATTTTCCTGTTCCTGAGTAAAGTTTGTGATATTCGCTAGTGTCGCAGATGACTGAAGAATCATAGACTTCCCATTAATGATAAATATGTTAAGAAATACCACAAATGCAACATATACACTGAAATTGAAGTATGCCAAAGGTCTAACCCTGCTCCATTTTAACTCTAAAAAGCTTCGTGGGACTGGATGGTCTAGAAGCGAACATATATCGTCATCCTGCCTCATCAAATTCAAGAAATTCATTTCACTTTCTAACACGTCATTCTCAAGTGCACTTTCTACATTTTCACTCTGTGGAACGCTCTCGTACTCCAGCGCTCCGCTAGTTGGTTTCTTCTCATCTGCACGCCCCGGGGCGAGAAGACGATAGTCCAGGATGAGTTGGTAGTCCTCGTCGAGGGCGTTCTTGTTATTGGTGTCCACGCATTTATCTAACAGCGACTCTATTTGTCTCTTCCCTAACGGGGGCTTGCCCAGTTTGTTGCGAATCTGCATGTTGGCTCCCATGCGTAGCAACAGAACGACGATTTCAATATCTGCGTCTTCCCTCGCCGCGTAATGCAACGCAGAATTTCCTTTGGCGTCGACTGCGTTCACGTCGAAGGCTGGGTGTTCCAAAAATATCTTCACGACGCCGTGATGGCGGTAGAAGGCCGCGAGCACCCCAGGCGGACACAAATTACTTGCGGTCGTTTTGTCGCCTTTGAGCACCTCGTTAGGATCGGCGCCTTTTTCCAGCAAAATCTTGACGGCCTTCTCCATCCCGTAGCGGGCGGCCCTTTGCAGTAGCGTGAACTTCTTGTCGTTCATGGAGAGGTCGGGCGGCGCGGGGCAGCTCCGTAATCGCTCCACGAACTCGTTTTCTCGCGTCGTGTGCAGCAGATCGAACCACTCCGTCTCGTGCTGATGCTGAGGCACGTCCTGCAACCTGTCCACGTCGTTCTTAAATTCGGGAAACGTCTCCTTAATGACATCGCCTAGCGTTTTGTCTTTGAATTCCACCTTCAGATCCAGCGAATGGCATTTGGTGAGAATGAGTTTGATGGCGTACTTGATTTTGTAATGCACGGCTAGCATCAAGGCAGTGTAGCCTTTGTTGTTTTTCTTGTTGACGTCGAGTTGCTTGTGCTCGACGAGGACATCCAAGCACCTGCGCTTCTCGGTGGAGACGTTGTTCCACTTCTCGACGACGTAGTGCAGCGCGGTGAATCCCATCTTGTCGCGCGCGTTCACGTCGGTGGCGGCGGTGCCTTCCAAGAGCGCGCTCAGCTGCTTGTGGTGGCCCCTCTCGCTCGCCACGTGCACGGGAAACTTCTCGTCCAGCTTGTTGGGCACGTTGGGGTCGGCGCCGGCGGCGAGCAGCGCCTCCACGAACGCGTGGGCGTCGCGCTTCTTGCACGCCAGCTCGAGGCAGGTGGCGTGCAGCGGCGCGCCGAACCAGTGGTTGGGGTCGAGCGTGGGGTTGCCGTCGGCGTCCGTCTCGCGCAGCAGCGCGCGGAAGACGGCGACGCGGCCGTCGCGCAGCGCCGTGGCCAGCGCCGAGTGCGGGTCGGCGCGCAGGGCGTCGTCGCCGGCCGGCAGGCGCCGCTCCAGGTCCGGGAAGCGCTGCAGCAGGTCCTCGCGCGCCGTGCGGCCCAGCGCGCGCACGCTGTCCAGGTCGAGCGCGTCGCGCCCCAGCTCCAGCATGACGCGCACCAGGCGCCGCCGCGCCTCCCACGTCTCGTCGTCCGCCGCCCCAGCCCCTTCGCTCGGGCCGTCCCGCGTCGAGCCGCGCCGCGGCTTGTACCTGCCACAGCGGAGCGCGGCGTCGTGATGGATGGCGCGAGGGGAAGACGTGAGGTTTATGTGGGACGCGTGATGGCGTGACAAGACAAACAACTCAGATGGCTACTTAGCAAAAGCACGTGCCTTACTGGGAATTCCATACTGGACCGCTCGACTCCGCGTGCTGGAATGCTGCTGAAAATATCTGGACTACCGAGCAACATTAAATCGTTTGGCAAATCAAATATCTAGAACAGGGTTGCCCACGCTTCCTGTGCGGGACAACACCCCCCTAATGTAACAAAAGGTTCAGATCAGATTTAAGATTTTTTTTCTAATATCTTCAGAAATTCAACCCCCCCCCAATGAATTTCCCTACTTTACGCGTGATACGGTCTGATATCACGCATGATTCCTCCTCCCCCCCCGCTGTTTCAGAGCAGTCGGGCAAACTGCCGAGTAATGAAAATATGGCCCGCAACCTTATTAAAGGTTTTAGCTCTGGCCCTTGAAACCTAACAAGTTAAATACCTCTGATCTAGAATGCACCTCATTTTTAAAGCGTAAATGTTTAAAAGAAGGGTCTTCTTGCCAAATTTACGTCACCAAAAAGAGTAACATATAAGTCGCTTCACTAATTCTACAAAAAAATATTTTACCTACCCTAAAAAATACTGAGATTTCGGAAGAATTTCGATAACAGAGAAAAAACAAAAAAACTGGCAGAACGTCAGAAAAAACTGTTTCCAACGAGATGAAAGAACGAATTTGAATTATACAGAATGTCTTACAAACGTCTGGGATATGAAGGGGTATCAAAAATTATCACTTGTTACCAATGAACAGGTGGTGGAAAATTTCATATTACAAAGTTGCATATATGGGGCTCTTGTCTCTCATTTAGGCATTGGTGTTAGTCAAGTATTGGAAATGTTTCTGTCAATCACTAATGCAAGGAAAGTTGTGTACCAATCAGAGGTAAATATCGATTGTAACTTCGTTATACAACTTCTTGCATTTCATGTTCATTGGCAAAACGTGGTAATCTTTCACACCGTCCGTGTCTTAGAAGTTCTTAACATTTATTCTAAGACATCTGCATTGACAAACCAGTGACGGGTAGCACGTAAAAGTGAACGGTAATGAGATTATTTAAATTTCAATATTAATAATTGCATAATAAATATTGCATATGCTGAATGCATCCATCGCAGAGAAGCAGGCTCTCTTCTCAGTAATATTGAGTGTCGCCATAAGCTCCACGGCACGCGAAATTCCAGGCCTCCGTGATATATAAATAAATTGTATCATATGAATTTGAACTCGCCAGAAATGTAAAAAAATGGAATTAATTTTGTAACGTGTTTATCTACAAAGATGAAATGGATGAAAATGATGAAATATGAGTTATTTTGGAGAGAAGAAAGAGAAGCACATTTAATTCTATATAATGAATACTTCGTCATTAATTTCAATGTATATTTGTATCCTCCCATTATGAAAAAGCAATTGGCTTCGGCGGTGTTAAATTCCGAAGTTCCTAGACGGCCACCCATCCAGAAACCGGCGATGTCTCGAATTCGCTTAACCTTCGTGACTTTCACTTAACTGCGTGTAGTTAACGTATTCGTTTAGCGTCGACCGCTTCGTGGCCGTGGTCTTTCGGTAGAACAATACGCCTAGATGCCCGAGGGAAACCATGAAAACTGCGATTAAGATGGCTGGTATCGAAACTGAACCCGGACCTTCCGAATGCGAAGTGATCGCGCAACGTCCTGAGCCACTTCGCTCGGTTCGTGGTCAATTATACGTCGTAAATTTCGTGATTCTCTTCTCTTTCCCTCCTGTCTGTCAGTCTGTCTGTCTGTCTGTCTCTCTCTGTCTCTCTCTCATATATAT